AACTCTATTAGCCTTTGCCCTGCTTCATTCTGTACTCCAAGGCCAAATTTGCCTGTTACTCCAGGTGTTTCTTGACTTCCTACTTTTGCATTCCAGTCCCCTATAATGAAAAGGACATCTTAGATAACCACAATGATGTGGTCACCTGGAGCCATATTCCTCATCTTGGAATATGAGGTCAAGCAGGCATCAAGAAGCTTTACTGCAAATGAAGCTAGTAGAGGTTATGGAATTTTAACTGAGCTATTTAAAAATCCTAAAAGATGATGCTGCTAATTAAAGTGCTGCACTCAATACACCAGCAAATTTGAAATCTCAGCAGTGGCCACAAGACTGGAAATGTGGTTTTCATTCTAATCCCAAAGAAGAGCAATGCCAAAAAATATTCAGAGTAACAGACAATCGTGCTCATTTCACATGCTAGTAAGATTATGCCCAAAATCCTTCAAGCTAGGCTCTAGCAGTATGTGAACTGAGAGCTTCCAGATGTACAAGCTGGGCTTTGAAAAGGCAGAGGAACCAGAGGTCAAATTTCCAACATAAATTAAATCATAGAGAAAGCAAGGGAATTCCAGAAAAATATCTACTTCTGCTTCATTGACTACATGAAAGCCTTTGACTTGACTGTGGGGATCACAACAAACTGCAGGAAATTCTTAAAGTATTATCAAACCACCTTACCTGTCTCCTGAGAAACCTGTGTGCAGGTCAAGAAGCAACAGTTAAAATGTTACATGGAACAATGGACTGATTCAAAATGGGGAAAGGAGTACATCAAGGCTATATATTGTCACCTTGTGTATTTATGCAGAGAACATCATGTGAAAGGCTGGGCTGGATGAAGCACAAGCTGGAATCAAGATTGCCAGGAGAAATATCAACAACCTCAGATATGCAGATGACACCACTCTAAAGGCAGAAAGCGAAGAGGAACTAAAGAACCTCTAATGAAGGTGAAAGACAAAAGTGAAAAACTTGGCTTAAAACTCAACTTTCAAAAAACTAAGGTCATGGCATTTGTGCTCATCATTTTATGGCAAATAGATGGGAAAAAATGGAAATAGTGGCAGATTTTCTTTTCTTGGGCTCCAAAATCACTGCAGACAGTGACTGCAGCCATGAAATTAAAAGACACCAGCTCCTTGGAAGAAAAACAATGACAAGGCTGGACAGAGTATTAAAAAGCAGAGTCATCATTTTTCCTACAAAGGTCCATCTAGTCAAAGCTGTCGTTCTTTTTCAGTAGTCATGTACAGAGGTGAGAGTGGGACCATAAAGAAGGATGAGCATTGAGGAATTAATGCTTTCAAACTGTGGTGCTGGAGAAGATTCTTGAGAATCCCTTGGAATGCAAGGACATCAAACCAGCCCATCCTAAAGGAAATCAACCCTGAATATTCACTGGAAGGACAGATGCTAAAGCTGAAGCTCCAATAGTTTGTCTACCTGATGTGAAGAGCTGACTCATTGGAAAAGATCCTGATGCCGGGAAAGACTGACTGAAGGCAGGAGGAGAAGGGGGCGATGGAGGATGAGCTGGTTGGATGGCATCACTGACTCAATGGACATGAGTTTGAGCAAACTCCAGGGGATAGTGAAGGACAGGGAATCCTGACATGCTGCCGTTCATGGGGTCATGAGAGTCAGACACTACTTAGTGACTGAACAACAGCAACAACAGGTTAAATAGGAGTCAATTCCAGGTGTATTCAAGTCCTTAAGGTAAAAGGCAAAACTGTAAAGCTTTAAGAAGGTAAAACAGGAGAATATCTTTATGATTTTAGAGTAGGAAGCTTTTTAAAATAATTATAAAATGTACTAATTGTTAAAGCACTGATAAATTTTGACCACAATTACACTTAAAAGCTTTTGCACAATGAAGGAAACATAAGCAAGATGAAAAGACAGCCTTCAGAATGGGAGGAAATAATAGCAAATGAAGCAACTGACAAAGGATTAATCTCAAAAATATACAAGCAACTCCTGAAGCTCAATTCCAGAAAAATAAATGACCCAATCAAAAAATGGGCCAAAGAACTAAACAGACATTTCTCCAAAGAAGACATACAGATGGATAACAAACACATGAAAAGATTCTCAACATCACTCATTATCAGAGAAATGCAAATCAAAACCACAATGAGGTACCATCTCACGCTGGTCAGAATGGCTGCTATCCAAAAGTCTACAAACAATAAATGCTGGAGAGGGTGTGGAGAAAAGGGAACCCTCTTACACTGTTGGTGGGAATGCAAACTAGTACAGCCATTATGGAGAACAGTGTGGAGATTCCTTAAAAAACTGAAAATAGAACTGCCATATGACCCAGCAATCCCCCTGCTGGGCATACACACTGAGGAAACCAGAATTGAAAGAGACATGTGTATCCCAATATTCATCACAACACTGTTTACAATAGCCAGGACATGGAAGCAACCTAGATGTCCATCAGCAGACGAATGGATAAGAAAGCTGTGGTACATATACACAGTGGAATATTACTCAGCTATTAAAAAGAATGCATTTGAATCAGTTCTAATGAGGTGGATGAAACTGGAGCTTATTATACAAAGTGAAGTAAGTCAGAAAGAAAAACACCAATACAGTATATTAATGCATATATATGGAATCTAGAAAGATGGTAACGATGACCCTATATGTGAGACAGCAAAAGAGACACAGATGTAAAGAACAGACTTTTGGACTCTGTGGGAGAAGGTGAGGGTGGGATGATTTGAGAGAATAGCATTGAAACATGTATATTATCATATGTGAAATAGATTACCAGTCCAAGTTCGATGCATGAAAGCAGGGCACTCAAAGTTGGTGCACTGGGACAACCCTGAGGGATGGGATGCAGAGGGAGGTGGAAGGGGGGTTCAGGATGGGGGCACATATACACCCATGGCTGATTCATGTGTCAGCCACGGAAAAAACCACTACAGTATTGTAAAGTAATTAGCCTCCAATTGTAATAAATAAATTAATTTTTAAAAGAAAACAAAAAAAGAAAGTTAAGAAGTTCTGTTCATTAAAAGATACCTTAAAAGAATGAAAAATCAAGTCACATATTCACAACATACATAACTGATGAAAAGATTCATATTCAAAATAAAGTACTCCTTCAACTAAGTGACCAAAAAACAGAAAATCCCACAGGATAATAGTAAAGGTATTGGTATGGGATCAGTATTTAGAGAAAAAAATACTTAATTTAATAAATTTAATAAATTTCATTACAGGGAAACCCTAGATTACAATGACAATGATATATCACTATGGACCTACCAAATAGGAAAAAATTTCTAAAGTTGATATTATTCAGTGTTGTTGGGAATGTACAGCAACTGGAATTTTCATACAGTGCTGTTAGGAATGTAATTGGTACAACCACTTTGGAAAACCAGAGTTATATACTAAATTTGAATGTATGTATGTATATTTTCACTCTTAGATATGTTTCTTAGAGAAACATATGCAACTGGAGCAGAAAACATGTATAAGAATGTTCACAGCAACATTTCTCAGGAGTCAAAACACAGCAGACCACTCAAATACCTATCAAGAATGTAACAGAAAAGTAAATGATAGTATATTTATATACAGTTAGGTTCAGAAAACATTTCCTGTGAAGAGTCTGAGTATAAATATTTTAGGCTTTGCAGGGTTCTGTCTCAAAATCTTTTCTCATATATATATATATGTATATATGAATATATAAATATGTCATATATATATATATATGTCCCTATGTCCCGTGGACCACAGGTTGCCAAACCCTGATGTAGAGGAAAACTGTGTGCGTGCATTCTAAATCGCTTCAGTTCAACTCTTTGAGACTCTATGGACTGTTGCCCGCCAGGCTCTCCTGTCCATGGGATTCTCCAGGCAGGAATACTGGAGAGTGTTGCCATGCCCTCCTCCAGGGGATCCTCCCAGTCCAGGGATTGAACCCGAGTCTCCAATGTCTCCTGCACTGGCAGGCGAGTTCCTTACCACTAGTGCTAACTGGGAAGCACAAGATGAAAACCACACAGCACTGAAAACAGTCTACAGATGGGAGTGGCTGTCCACTCCAGTGTCTTCCCTGGAGAATTCCATGGACAGAGGAGCTTGGTGGGCCACAGCCAAAGAGTCCAACAGGTCTGAGCAACTAACACACACACATAAATTTTGGAGCAGAAATCAGTGAAGGAGGAAATAGAAAACTGTAAAATAGATGAATCCAGAAGTTAGTTACTTCCTTGAAAAAAGATCAACAAAATTGAGAAAACTTTATATAGACTGCCAAGAAGAGAGGGCCCCAGTTACTAAAACCAGGAATGAAAAATAGGGCATCATTCTTACTTACAGAAATTAAAAAGACTATAAAGGGACTATTACAAATAATTTTATGCCAAAATATTAGACAACTTAGATAAAATTGACAAATTTTTAGAGAGAAACAAATTACTAAAACTGACTTAAGAATAAATAAAGAATTGGAATAGACCTAATACACAAAGAAAGTGTTTCACAATTAAGACTCTCCCTTCAAAGAAAACCCAGGCTCAGATGGTTTTCACTTATAAATTCTATGAAATACTGAGAAAAAATGATGCCAGTCCATTACAGAATCTTTCAGGGAGTAGAGAAAGGAATAGTTCCAAATTCACCCTGTGAAGCAAACAGTACCTTGATACCAAAATCAGATTAAAAACATCACAAGAAAGGAAAACTATAGACCAATATTCCTCATATGTGGACACCAAAAAATTCTAACAAAATACTAGCAAACAGACCCCAGCAACATATAAAAAGAATTACATACCATGTCCAAATGGAATTTATCTTATGACTGTAAAGTTGGTTTAACATTCAAAAATGAACTAAGGTAATAAAACATATTAATAAAATAAAGGACAAAAACTACACCCTCATCTCAATAGAGGCAGAAAACAAACAAAATCTAGTACTTATCAAGTTAAAAACTCTTAACAGTCTAGGAGTAGATGGGAACTTCCTTAACCTGATAAGTATATCTAAGAAAAATCCATGGCTAGCCTCTTGATTAATGGGAGGGAGACAACATGCTTTCTTCCTAAGATTGAGAACAAGGCAAGAATGTCTGTTCTCACCACTATTATTAAATATTATCCTGAAGGTTCTAGCCAGTGCAATAAGGCAAAAGAAAAATTAAAGATTTACCAATTGGTAGGGAAGAAATAAAAATCTGTTTATTCATAGTGACATGATTCAGTATTTAGAAAATTCCAAGGAACCCTTTAAGCATCTATTAAAAAACAAGTTTAACAAGATAATAGGATTCAAGATAAACATATAAAAACCAATTGTATTTATTCACACTAGCAACAATCAAAAATGAAATTAAGAAAACTATTCCATATACAATAGTATCAGAAAGAATAAAATACTTCTGAATAAATTTAACAAAAGAATGCAAATCTTGTGAACTAAAATCTAAGACATTGTTTAGAGACATTTATGATCTAAATTCCATGCTCAGATTGGAAGAGTCAATATTTTCAAGATGGTAATTCATCTTTCAGTGCAGACAACAGTTTTTCCCCAATTGATTGATAAACTCAGTGCAATCCTCAACAAATCCAATTAACATTTTTGGTAAAAATTAACAAGCTGATCTGATATTTATTGATATGGAAATGCAAAGAACCTAGAAAAGCTTAAAAGTCTTTTTTAAAAAAGCAAAGTTGGAGATTTTATACTTCCCAATTTCAAAACTTACTATAAATTCATAGTAATCAAGATAACACAACGTTGGTGAAAGGATAAGTGTATAGAATCAGTAGAACGGTATTGAGAACCCTGAAATAAACCTTTAGAGTTATAGTCATTGATTTTCTACTATAGCCTATGATTCATTTATCTTTTTCCCAATACCTAGAGTCAGTCTCTGGCATCTGGTGGGCACCCAGTGGAAGGCTCAGGAAGGTAAAGAATTTCTTGTGCTCACTTTCAACTATTCAGAACTAACCAAATCTGTGACCAAGAGCTTTGCTGCACCTCAGGTGGAGGGAAATGGCCAAGAGCAAAGGGCACTCCCCATCTCCTGTCCATCATCAGTGGTGCCTCCTCTGGCTACTTAGACAGACCTGGTCGTGGCAACTGCCAAGCTAGTCTGGCTGCCTTAAGACATTCACCACAATCCAGAAGCTTCCTTTATGATAAAGTGAACTGCATCCAAGTTAATGTTACTGTTCCTGGCACATTCCTCAGAGTCAGGCTGTAGCAGGTTTAGTACCATTTAATCCGTTCCACATGATCACAAGCAAGAATGCAATGAGAGATGAGAAAAATACTTCTGAAGATTGAGAAATGTTTCCCATCTCAAAAGTCCAAGAGTGCTGCTTATAATTTTTTTTTTTTAACTTTAGGGAGGACTCAGGGGACTGCACTATTGAAACTCTTGAAGTGCAAACAAGAAGACAGGGCAGCTTCAGAAAGGAAGCACCACAGATAGTAGCTTTAAGCAGGGAAGTTGAGGCCCACGGGCACTGAGACACTCTTTCCACAGCCGAGGCTGTTACTGGTGACAGGATATGGAAATTCATCGTGCACACTGGTCTTTATCCAACGTGGGCCCCGGTCATGACTGATTGACAAGGAAGGTCAGTGCGCCTCGGGGCTGTGCTGGAGCACGTGCCAAGGGACCTCAGCACTTCCTGTGTAGCCACATAGAGGAAGAAAGGAGGGAGGGAAGAAATGAGGGAAAGAAAAGGGAAGAAGAGGAAGAGAAGGTGGGGACAGAGGCAGGTGGGGTGAGGAGGAGGCAGGGAGAAGTTAAAAGAACACGTGTTACCACTGTGCTTTTAGTATCCTGCTCACTGTAGCTGACAATTGCCTTACTTAGGAAGGAGAGACAAGACACCTATAATATAAGATTGATATTTACCTTCTGAGTCCTTGTTGTAGAAAACGCCATGTGGATGCAAGGAGTAAGGGCGGGACGCAAAGTTCTTTAAATGGATGACAATCACATCACCCACTTCAGCCTTCAAGATGGGACCCAAAAATCCAAGCCAGGGAGGCTTGGGGATCTCCTTGGAATAGGTCTCATCTGTGTAGTGTCTGTAAACAGCCTTTTTGTAAAGACTTCCTATCCTGTTGGGCCCTCTTTCCAGATATAAGGTTGCAAGCCTGAAAGTAAGGAAAATATTTTATAATTAAAGCTAAAAGAGAAATCCTAATAGCTTACCTTAATAGTCCATCAAGTGCTTACAAGTATGATTTCTCATTTGGTGTTCACCATAACACTGCAAGCTTTGTAGAGTTGGTAAGATTATCCTCAATTTATTTATTTATTTTTTCCCATTTATTTTTATTAGTTGGAGGCTAATTACTTTACATCATTACAGTAGTTTTTGTCATACATTGAAATGAATTAGCCATGGATTTACATGTATTCCCCATCCCGGTCCCCCCTCCCACCTCCCTCTCCACCCCATCCCTCTGGGTCTTCCCATGTTAATCAACAAGAAATGTCACAGCCATCAGTGATTTCTGACCATCAAATGTGAATGAGCTAGATA